AGCCATGTCATCGTCTCGAGCTGGCTCCAGCTTCCCGCAAAGGCGAAGCTTCGTTTCTTTGATTGATGTGCGCTCAGAGAAGCAGAAAGAGAGAGCGTCCCAAGAACAACCGTGCGCTGAACATAATGGTGAGATGGCATGTATGGCCTACCGATGCAACACTCTCCAACTTTGCCAAAGGACCTTTGGGAAAAAGCCCCCTTTATGCCTGCCCGATCATTGTGCAGATACATGCACATGCATTTTCATTTATCTCCATATCGTTGCACTGGTTGCGTGGAAATCATGCCCGCTGGCATTTCGCCGTCTACTCCCATGCTAGCAGCTGGTGCCTCACCCGTATCAAGTGCTGGAGGCCAACCAATCCTGTCGCAGCGAGTTGAAGGCATCAAGTTTAGGGTCGGAGCAGTGATTGTGCTTGGATGCAGGAAGTTCTACTTGGTGTGTCTACATCTGCGTGCGGATGCGTGGACGGACCTATACACCTGCATGCATGCATGGCGCTGCATGGCAATGTAATGCCATGCCCTCCCACGCAATGCAATGTAATATAGGGTCATGTCATGTTTTTGGAAGGTAAAGTAAGGTAATGTAAGCTACAGTAAGGTAATGTGAGGTAAGGTAACCCAATTCTAAAGTACTGTACTGTACTGTACTGTACTGTACTGTACTGTAATGCATGGTACTGATTCAGAGATGTATCAGTGTATTCATGTGCTTACGTCTACAAGGATGTGTGTTTGTACATGTGTGCATGTACTCTCCTGTATCTTTATGTATGAGCGGCACACAAACAGAAAAAGGAAAGCACACAACGTGACGCATGTTGTCGTGTATATACACACATACATACTCATAAAATCATATGTATAAATATACACATGTTTGAATGTGTTGTACAGAAATAAGCACATGTACAAAGAGATGTATACATACATACATACATACATACATACATACATGCATACATACATACATACTACCTACGTACATACATACATACACACATACATACATACAAAAATAAATAC